AGAGCTTTCGAGGGGGAAACAAGCCAGAGCCTTTTGAAACAAATTGCTTTGTGCCAGTCCAACCACTGCATAGTGTGAAGGGCTGGGAAGTAAAGATTTAGCTGCTTGGGGCTGTCTTCTCTCCTTTTCTCTGAATGGTTTCCCCGTCTGCTTTCTTCCCCCCCTTTGTGCTCTGTGCCAGGGGTCTCCCAGGCAGCTCCCCCTGAGCCGAGGGACTGAGACACCCCCCCACCACACTGGAAAGCAGTGTTGGGGCAGGTGCCCGTGCAGGTGCACCCGCCCCATGAGAGCAGGGCCCAGGGCTGCTGAGGGGCGGCAGCTCCTGCCTGCCTTTGCTTCAGGGCTGGCGGTGACGGCGGCCTTTGGCCAGTGGGAGCCGCTGGTGAGCACAGGCCAGACTCGGCCTGGGCATCAGTGGCGTCCCCTGGGGGAGCCGTTTGGAGCTCGGCCCCTGGGGCAGCAGCTGCGGTGAGGACTCTCCCCTGGGGTCAGGATGCTGCCCAAGGAAACTCCTCGAGGGGCTCTGGGTGGGGACGCTGCCCTGAGCAGGTCCTCGAGGTTGGGAGCCCTCGCTTGTCAGGTGAGTGAGAAAGCGTTATGGGTTGCCGTTAAACCCTAGGGAGTTGTTCCGTTCTCCTCTCACAGGCATTCAAACCTGTAATTTATGGAGAGCTAGTTAATTGTGTTAATAATAAATTTTTAAATTTTGGTGGTTGGTGGGAACTCTGTAACAGTTCATCCTTTGTCTCTCCTCCCCTGGTCTGTTGGGGGCTTTTTCCACAACGCCAGTTGCCTCAGCAATTATTTGGCAGTGTTGTCACAAGCACCCAGGGAGACAGTGGTCCTTCCCCATCTGCCCAAAGACCAGCAAAGTCATATGTAATCCTAAAAAAATGAAGCATGCTGTAGCCTGTGCTAAATCCCTGCCCTCCACTGGGATGCTGGCTGGTGGCTGGAAGGCAGCACTGGCTGGAGGGGAGGGGTCCCTCCAGTTGTGGGATGCTGCCTCCCTCCCCTCCAGCGGCACCAAGCCCATCCCTGGGCTAATGCAGAGACCCTTATCCCCCTGCCCACACTGCCTCTGCACAGAGCACCTGCAGCCCTGAATGCACAACATCCTCGCCTGGGGTGTAACAGACTCTGTGCATCACCGGGGGTTGCTTTGTCTTCGAAGGAGGTCACCACAGGCTTTATATTTACTTTATGACCAGGTACTTTCTTCTCCTGCCTTGTCTGTACAAAACAGAGGGGGCAGGAACACGGGGTTTTGCTGAGCCAGCAGCTCTGTAGTCAGCAGGGCATGCTGCAGAGGCTTAACGTGGACCTCTGAACGTGGCTGGTGGAAGCAGCAGGGAGGTGAGACCTGGGCTGAGCTGGAGATGCTCGGGGTGCTGCAGGAGGCAGCCAGCCATATCTGGGAATGGGACAAGGCTGTCCCCCTGCTCAGCCAGGTCACTGCCATCTCTCCCAGAAGCTGCTGCTAGGGCTCTCGCTGAGCAGTGCAGAGCTTTGCTGTGGGTGGCTGAGCAAGTGGGGAGAGATACTCGCCCCAGGCTGAGCCCATGTTGTTCCTGCTCATCTCAGCACGGCACCAAGCACTTCTGACCTGCCCAGCTCTCCCTGCAAGAGCATTAGGGCCAGGCCTTCTGAACATATTTTTTAGGGAATCTAGGGTGATTTGGCTCTATATGGGTTGAGATTTCTCCCCTTTCTAGGTTTGCAGTCGCTGCCAGAGACTTGTGTTGGCTCAAACCTTCTTCCGAGACATCCTTTCCCCTCCTGTATATATCAGCTGCCCATAGCCCGGCCTCTGCTGGGCTTGCCTCTGAGTACACAGCTCTGACCAGCCCTACTTTGAGATGAAACATCTTGTGTTGACTCATCTTGACCCAGGCAACCTTCCAGAACAGACAGTTGCACGTGGGTTATGCTGGGCTGTGAGAAAGCAGCATGGATGTGTTTTTCCTAAATGTAAGAGACAGAGCTGTGGGTAGTATTTAACTGGGATGAGTCTCCTGTCTGCAGAGTGCAGCTGGTCTGGTGTGTGCCTGGCTGGAAGCCTGGAGACACGCGTCATTACATTTGAGGAGAGGTTCACAGGGTCTGAGGCCAGGGGCAGCAGGGATGTGAGGTGTGATGAACCTCAGCCATAGCTCTGCCACGCACAATCCCAATCCCTTGCAAACACGGGCAGATGTTATGGGGCTGAAGTGGCATTTGATGAAGGAACTATAATGCTGTCAACACCAAAACCTGCTAACAGGAACAAAAACTTACCATTTTTAAGTGTTTGGAGAAGAGTAAATAGCATTCACTGGTGTTAGAACATGAGCTTTAGTGCGCTCAACCAGACCAGGAGGCACCTACCTGGCGTCCTTTACCCAGCACTGGCCAGAGGCAGAGGCAGGGACTCCAAGCCTACAGAAGCACACCTGTATGCAAACGACACATACGACAATACTGCTCCAATTAAACGTATTTAAGATGTAAGGATATGGGTATCACTGACCCTGAAAAGATGTGCCAAAAAAAGGGAAGATAACTGCTCTGCATATGGCAGGATGTCCAAAACACTAACATGACTTGTGTGCACAAACTCCAGGTGACTTCAAGGAGGAGCTGAAGAAAGTTGGTTACTTTTCTGACAACTGTTGCCAGTGCTCCTGTGCTGCTGTGCTTAGCCTAAGCATCTCACTTCAAGAAATAAATCAGTAAGGTGGATAATGCTCTCACTGGCGATCACGTAGGTGATGCAGCTACTGGGTCCCTACAGTCCCTTCCAGCCTCGTGGTCTCAGCAGTGGCAGAGGGGAGCAGCAGGAGCCGGTGGTGCTCCTGCATTTCTGCTCCTGCAGAGCTGGGTCACTGGTGGAGGGAAGCTGCAACTCTTTGCACTTAGAGGAGCCTCAGAAGAAGAGAAGTTTATTAAAGGAAGGGTAAAATGGATCCACCAACTACAGAGCTCATGCTCATCGACTGCAAGCTGCACAGAAACATACTGCTCTGTCTCCGTAAACAGGCTAAAAATATCGTGGTGCTGTTCCTCCGAGGGCCCGGGAGTTCAGAGAGGCTGGGAAGGAAGCTGGGGTCAGGCTGCCTCCGGGGAGCAGGCGCAGGCATCACACGTAGGCGTGGAGCCACGGGACAGTCCCCTCCGGCTCAGCAGAAATAGGGGCTGGCTAGAAGAGACCCAGCGTGTCAGGCACAGCGCTGGTGTTCTGCCGCTCAGCCTTGGCAAGTCAGTGGTGCAAGGTCTCCTTGGCTTAGTGCTAATTCTGCAAGAATGCAGGAGCTGTGACTTGGAAAGCCCCAGAGCTGTGGGAGAAGCACAGTGTGGCAGTGGGGAGCAGCCTGGGACGGTGGGAGAAGGCTTGGCTTTAGTTCTGTTCTTCTGAAGTGTAATTACTCTCTTCTCTGTACCCCTGCCCGTGCTGGGTTCAGTGGTGCAGGTGCCAGTGTCCTGCAGAACACTGCCTTCTCCAGGCAGTGCCACCCCCAGTCAACCAGGGGTAACACTGGCCCCTTTCCTGAAGGGTGTCCTGTGTGAGGCTTCTGTCTCCATTTCTTCTGATTTCTGGAATCAGAAAAGACTATTATTTCAGGCATCCTATTTCAGAAGTAATTAAAAGCTAGTTTCTGTTCTCATCACACCAGTGTACCTCATTAAAGAATGTGGCTATCACAACCACATCCCAGTCAGAGTAATCAGGACTTGAGTCTGGATGTCTCCCTCTATAAATGATGCAGAAGTGTGTTCCAACTAGAAACCTCATCAAGAGTTATTTCAGTTTTCTATGTGTGTCTGGCAGCCACAAGGACCTGGAACATTTTTGGATTTTCCTTCATTAGTGTTTAACCTTGTTACCTGGTGTGAGACTGTATGGCACAGAGTTAATCAGTAATGAGCACTGGTGCCCTGTCAGGCGTCTGTTGTGTGCTGTGAGCAGCTGAAAGTGGAGACCAGGGATCAGCTCTGGTCTCCTAGCAATAACAGCAGTGATCTCTGCTCTTGTGCACTACCCAATTTCTCCATCTCTCCACTGTACTTGTAAATTTAAATTTCCCTGTACATGAGCTGTGGAGGTGAGAGCTAGGGATCAGCTGCTTTCTCTCTGGGGGAACTGCATGGTGCTGCAGTCTCAAACGAAGAGGGAATAGATCCAAAACTGAATAAATGCACATGGTAGGTTATCATTAAAGCCCAAATATGCTGCTAGCATCCTCTAGTGTCTACCCACCTGAAAACCCAAGGGGCCCCAAACCACCCAGTGCTCCAGTGGGGTGGTGTGGAGGTGGGTGCTGCCCTCCCTCCCACTCGCTTGTGTTTGCCTTTGTGCAGCCCATCTCGCTGTGAGCCCACTGCCCTGGTCAGCGCCACATAATTTCAAACCAGGATCGGCTGCCTGGACTCCAGCCAGAATAAATTCAACACAGAGATTGTTTTAAAGAAAATAACCTTTGCTATGTAAAAGAGTTTCAGTGTAAAAGCAGTAGATTTATCATGCTTTTCCCACTGCCTCTGGCAAAACTAGAGCAGAGTGTCAAGGGTGGTGTCCGTATTATAGCTCTCGGCAGTGTGCTTCGCACTGAGTTCATTCAGCTGGGCCACGCTCCAGTTTATCGAGGATTTCTCACTGTCGTAACTCTAGTGCTTCGAGTACCTCTGCGTGTTTCATTCGTTTCCGTCCTGCAGCTGATTTAAACTGTATGTATCCTGCATTTATGTCCTGACAGTATTTCTTGCTGGGGCCCGTGCCACCCACCTTTGGCACTGTCAAACTCAATCCCCGTTGCAAACTGGGCTGTAGATGCCGATGTGAGCCCGCAGCCGCAGGGGCTGCTGCTGGTACCGAGGGAAAGAGAAAGGAAACGGCATGTCAGAGCCCCGCCGGGATGTGAGGAGAGGCTGGAGGGAGCTGTGACCGAGCTGCTCTTTCCCAGGGAGGATTCTCCACCCCGTCCTGGGTGGGATCTTGGCGGTCCTGCTTAAAGCCGAGCAGAAGGGGTTGGAGTTCAGTTGCCCTGGGCAGGACTTGCTCACTTGCAGGGACACAGGAATAACTTCTGCATAGGACAGTGATACGTTGCAGTTCACTCTCCCCATGGAAGGTAGGAGGAGGTTTATTTTCTTGCCTTGATCATTCTATTTTATTGTTATTGCCAGAAAACAGGGTGTGAGCTGTTTTGGTGTGTGTGTCTGACTGTTTCCTCCTGGGATGTGCTGCTTTTGCCTGGGATAGATGTTGTTTGGGGTTTAGAAAAAACCCTGTAGTTACTAGAAATTTTGCAATCTAATGCCTCAGTGCCTGCGAGTGACACAGAGGGCACGTAATGCGAAGCCTGGTCTCGGAGGGGACGTGGGTGGGTTTTGCGCTCGGCAGAGGTTTCTCCTCTAGAGGGTAGCAGCTACCTGCGCCGCGGCAACCGGGGGTAACACTGGCCCCTTTCCTGAAGGGTGTCCTGTGTGAGGCTTCTGTCTCCATTTCTTCTGATTTCTGGAATCAGAAAAGACTATTATTTCAGGCATCCTATTTCAGAAGTAATTAAAAGCTAGTTTCTGTTCTCATCACACCAGTGTACCTCATTAAAGAATGTGGCTATCACAACCACATCCCAGTCAGAGTAATCAGGACTTGAGTCTGGATGTCTCCCTCTATAAATGATGCAGAAGTGTGTTCCAACTAGAAACCTCATCAAGAGTTATTTCAGTTTTCTATGTGTGTCTGGCAGCCACAAGGACCTGGAACATTTTTGGATTTTCCTTCATTAGTGTTTAACCTTGTTACCTGGTGTGAGAC